GCAGAGCTGCAAAACACTCACGACTACGAACAATTGAATTATATAAAAAAGTGGAGAAGTATGGAAAGAATATTGGTTTAAACGAGTCAATAGAGGATTATTCGACCAATGCTGAGCGCATACAGTTTCACTTTTTCCTTGCTCATGCTTTTTGTCAAATTCAACAGCGACTTCTTCGCAGTTTAGTAGTTGTATCTACTTGTTACTCGCTGCATTCTCAAACAGAATCAACTTAGTTCTTGAATTAATACCTTCTTAGCTTTCCATTCAAGCGTTAGACTAAACTCTATACAAACAGTTTTATTTAGCATATGTAAGTTGAAACTTTTATTATAAGGCTTACGCTTTCTTTGCCTTGTTTCTTCCTTTTCAAGTTGTCCTTAAATTTATCTTTTTCACTTTTGCTAATGCTTTTTCAAGAATTAATGCTAATGCACATTGGAAACTTAATTGCTCAAGTGCCTCTTGAAATCTTAGGCTTCGCGAGTTCAGAAGTTAGACTCTAAAGAGTTTTTTGGTCTTTGCTTAATCTGGTAAATAATTAAAATAAATTAAGTAACGTCTATAAAAAGTTTACCAGATTTTTTATCCACCCTACCAATTCCACTGTCAACTCCGGAGGTAACCAACCATCCACTGTAAAAACTGACTGTCTGAACAAAGTATTTTATGCTGTTTTAATTCGACGTGCTCTTCAAAAAGTGTGTCAGTTACAGCCAAAATGCAATATCAAACCAATTCGGCTGAATTTATTAGTTACATTGATGAAGAAGCAACAGAACTATTAGTAAAAAAGTTCTTTTGAGCGTATTTTTACTAGCTTTAAAATAAGAAAAGAAAACTTGACATTCATTTAGTGAAGTAGATCTGACTTTTGTCATCTTATGAATAACTGACAACGTAGAAGCGCAAGTGAAAAGTAAGTTGCTTTTAGATTTTGACCATCTAAACAGATATGCTGCAAAACATTTCAAAGCTTAATCCTTTTTCGTCCATTTTATTACACTTTTCTACCATTTAAAAATAAGCCAAAAGTTCTTTGTCTTTACTAACCTCAGCTACACTTTTTATCACTCCATCTTGAACTTCCTCTGACATTTGTGGCGGCTTATAAGCATCAACTACAGATATTACAAACGATTTGCCTCTGTCTTCTGTTTGCTGTTTCAACAGCTGGTATTTATATTCTCCAAGACTTTGTTGCTTTTTTTCTACTTTGTCGTAACTGAACCACAAAAACTGCAAATGCGTTAACTGATTACTCTGCATGTTGCCAGCCTCAAAGAAACTTATAGTTTGAAGTAAATGAATAATTTTAGCTTTCCGCACTACTTGTACGTAAATTTCTCTAAACTTTTATTTCAACTATTAATGTTTGATGGAATAAAAACGCAAAAAAGGTTTTCAGTTGAAGAGGAGCAATATTTTCATTCAGTTTTGTGTATAACTGAGTTAAAATAAAATTTTGGAACAATACTGAAAAAGAAATAAATTACTTTTGCTCTATTTTTGCTATTCCTAACTCTGAAAATCGAGTAACCATCTTTGATGTCTTCGTCGTTTTCTCTAAAAATTTTCACTTTTTGATAGCTAGAAATAACAGAGTAACTGCTCTTTTCTAGAACTATTTTTTAGCTCTTTCACTTATTTTTTTTTTCAAAACTTTTCTGCTCTTTTTCAGTGAAGTGGTATAGAAAGTACCATTGCATTAAGGTTACAAAGTTTGTAATGAGATTGATGATAGGTGTAAAATGGTCTTGTATTACTGATTACAAGGTAAGAAACGAAAGCAAAGATACCCATTAGAAAGAACCTGTTGAATGATGGTATATTCAGCGCTATTTCTCTGCAATTTTCATCTCAGTTATTGAACAGTATAAGTAGAGGCGTACAGCCTACGTAGATTTATAGATTAAGTTCAATTAATTCAGCAAGACTGTTGTATTTTGCACACGAAAACTGACTTACCGTACTTTTTTGCAGTTTTTTTTGAGTTTATTTTCTTTCTTCTGATCTCTACCGGTACGGTTTCTTTTCCTTGAACTCACATTTTTTCACTTCAAGCAGATAAAAACTTCAAAATTTTACAGTAATAGAACTGAGTTACGGTGTAGTAAGACGTAATATCATGATGACTGCTTCTTTCACTGATTAGATATACAAAATCTCTGTTAACTGCTACTTGATAATTGAAAATATTTCTTTTTTTTACGTCTTTAGACTCTCTGACTTTAGGGTAGAACGGATGCAACAAAACACTATCACTTTGCAAGTTTTTCTAATAACATTTTTTGGTCTTTTTATTTACTGTCTCTTCTTACACTAATCTCTTCTTACACCAATTACCTAAACTGACTATTTGAGCAGAGATAACTTGATAAGATTCTAATTATACGTAATTTAACAAGAGTTACTCATCTCCATCATCTATTTGAACCCTGCAGTTCTCAGGACTCGTTCTTTCCTTTTGAAATTGATCAGACGCTATGAATTTTTAAAGCCTTAAACGTTTTGAAAGTTTTGGTTTTAAAACATATTTTGAAATTAATTAGCAGTTTAACACTTTTCGATGCACCTTAAGAGTTTGAGTAACTTAAAACCTCTTTTTTTATTTGCTTTTGTCATTTATAACTTTTAGTTCGTTTTTGTGTTTATCAGTACTAAGTTTAACAGAGTACAGTCATAGCGCTCTTTTAAAAAAAAGCAAATACTACAGAGAAAAATTTGAGTACAGTGATAATTTTTTCGCTTTTTTGGGCGTAAGTTGCATCTTGTCTACTTGATTATTAAAACTAACTTTTTTTTGTTTTTACACGTAAGAAAAGCCTAAATAATTTTAAAATTTTTTTATACATAGTACCTGTACTACTTCTAAAACTGTACAGAGCCAAGTCACCGTAAAGCACAATAAATTTGAAAAGTTACTCTGAGTCAATAAAATAAAAACTTTAAGTTGTTTTAATCATTTTTATGATAAAAAAGGCATTTTTTTTAGTGCTTTCCGGCTTAAATATCAACAATGTTTTTGAAGCATTTTGTAAAGCCTTGGTTTTTCCTTTTTATTTTATTTTATTTTTTTTAATTTGTATGAAATGTATAGCAAGAGTACGAGCAAAAATAACCCAGAAAGCTGCACTTAGATCAAAAAAAGAGAAGAATATCAATGCTAAGCTTAATCAGAGATTTGTAATCATTGTTTTCTTTATTGACTGTTAATCTTCAACATTCACTTTCTAAAAAATCTTAAATTATGGCGTAATATCTACTGTTGCTTATTCAATGATTCAAAACTAAAAAAAATAGTCAGTTTTATTAGAAACATAATCTCAAAAACAGTTTTATTTTCAAAGTTAAACTAGCTTGACAGTCTTAAAATTAAATTTATCACATTAAACACTTATTAATCTAAATCTGTCTTTATATCAGCAGCGAATCGCAACAGTCTGTAACCATCGTGTTCTGCTCTGTCAATAAATAACACATTTACGGTGGTTGAATGCAGCGGTAAAAACTAATTGTATAGCTTAATCGAACTATTCAAAACATCGTAGTGATTAAATCTAAATTTTGGCAAAAGGTGTGCTTGTTATAGCGGTACTCTTTCTGGTTAAATGAGGCAATTTGATAACCTGTGCAACAGAAATTTTTTGCTATCTACGTTCAAAAAGAATTGAAGTAATGCTTTAATCTTTCCTCTTATGCTGAAACAGCGTGACTTTTTACTTCTAGTAAACAGCACATCAAAAATTGATTTTGGTGAATAAATCTGAAGATACTGTATTATTCCACAACCACAAAAAATTGGCAAAAAAAGTATACATTTTTAAATCGTTATTGAAAACTAATTAAAAACTAACCTTTTTAGCTTTTACTGTTTTTTAAAAATACGGAATACTGAACTAATAATTAAATAACCAATAAACAATACGTAAATGTTACAATAAACTGAAAAGTAGAAGAGGAAAAAGTTTTGTCAGTTTTGTTGACAGCCAGTGATTCCGAAAGTAAGCGGTCAGTACAACTCAGCGTTGCTGATAACACAGTTTTGAATACCTGCCAGCAATCTAAAAAAAAAAAAAAAGAAAAAAAAAGAACATTTGGTCATCGTAACTATTGCTCTGTTTTTGTTTACCTGTTTCACTTTTGAATTATGTACTTTTATTTCTGTTAAAGTGTGCAACGACTGTTTTTGACTTTTAAGCTGAATGAATGAAAAGAATTCCATTGTACTTGAAAGCCGTAAGAATTTATAGGCAACCTTTATAGCTTTACGCATTGTAGTCAACGACAGGTTGTCGTAAATCTGCTATTAAATATATTCACATCTTTAAAGAAAACAATTAGCTGATTTACCAAGTTAATAATTTATATCGTGTTTTGGAGATTTTTTCTGATACTGCGCACAAGTTTACGCTGTTAAGAGGTTTTAGATATGTAAAGAAACCTGTTAGTTGAAAAGTGCTTAAAGAACAGTCGTCAGCACAGTGTTGCAAATCAAAGTTAATGTATTCCCCACATTAAAAAGTTACTGGCAGAAATGTAGTAAAAGAATTCAAAAGTACTTGCAAATTTGAAAATATAGTCATAATAAAAATTTAAGGATAATATTTTTTAATGTTATGTTCACAAGAAAGTCACTGATTAAAAAAAATTTGTTTCAGCAATTTTTTCGTTTATGAGGCCGTATGCGTGAGATATGACTGTTTTGCATAAACTGAACACTGCGGGGCTACCTGAAAACTTATAGATAGTCCAGTCGGTGACTGTTGTACACCAAGAACGACAACTGTCAGAAAAATG